ACTGTACTGTACTGTACTGTACTGTACTGTACTGTACTGTACTGTACTGTACTGTACTGTACTGTACTGTACTGTACTGTACTGTACTGTACTTTACTGTACTGTACTGTACTGTACCGTAACTACTGTGCACCAAAATTCAAGTAATTTAAAATGCGTGTTGTTTTCGTTTCGCATGGATATCCACGCACTCGATAATATCAGGAGTTAAAGAAGACAAATTTGTCTTCATGAACTCCTGATAATATTCATTGTTCAGTCTCCATCCGTGTAAGCCGTCGCGGACAGATGTCAGTTATAGGTGACGTACCGACGATGAACGCTATAAAGTCACTCTCGCCAAAATAGCGGAAAATGCTGTCCCACTGCCGCTGCATCAATGCCTGTTGCTCTTCACTTGCTTCAGCATGGTAATCCCTGTTGTTGCAGCAGAGAACGTATGCGTTATGGTCGTCTATGCCACCTGGTTGTGTGTACGTGTGTGCGTGATTTTTCATATCTAGACTATTTAGCTACACGCGCGCGAACCTGGTTTTTTTTTCTGATCTGGCGCTGCAAGTTTTTAGCGATTGAAACACATCGCGCCACAACCCAGTGACATTGAATTTTCGTCGAATTGGCACTGTGATATGCCCTAACTCTTAGGGGACTTAATTTGAGTTGTAGTTTGCCTTGAAATTTCCTCACTCATTTAAAACATCAAATTTTAATAGAAACCAAAACCTATTTCCTTTTTATTGATACTGGTTTAGTCTATATACATGCCGTTTTATATTCATGCACGATGTTTCCGTCTTTGAATAGAAATGACGCAAACAGATGTCAATTTATTACTGTGTATTATACCCCGTTAAAACAGTATTTTATTATACATTCAACTAAAAATATATATTAGAGTAAGTAGTAATATCATTTTAATTCAGCTTATTTCGGTTACAGTTTCGAATCCGTTTGTCTTATTTAGACTCAATAGGATATATTGTAAGCTGAACTGTAGCGATTTATTCCACAGCAACTATTATACGCGCAGTATAGTAATACATAGTTAGACATAATATAAAGTGATACCTACTTAAATAGCGCGGAATCTCATGTGCGCGCACTCGCGCACGATGTCTTAAAATTTCATAGGTTTCATAGCATTATACTTTCCTCAACCTCTAAGCTATCGATCTATCTGTCTGCCCGTTCCTCGATCCATCGATCTATCCGTCAATCTATCCACATATCTACGTGTCTGTCGATCTTCAGTTGTGGTAGCCTTCCTAGCTACTTTATTAGTAAACAATGTTTTCACTAATGTCGTTCCAATTAATTTAAATTCATAAAAACCTATTACTATATTTTCTAAATCATTACACTTACATGATAGTCAATGTCTGTATCTGTCTAAAGCAGACAAGCAGGAACCTGGTTTCCAGTAATCTACTATAAGAAGAACATTCTTTTTCACAATATTATGCAAAACGTATATACCTTGTCGATGGGCAAACATCATCTGGAATTTGTATTTGTCGAGTTCATAGACCATGATGCGTTATAGCATGTGCATAACCTTTTTGCGCATAGTGTATGTAAATAAAAATACCTGCATACGTACGCACCCGGCCAAAGTACTCAAAATGCCTCCGTTCCAGTTTTGTATAGCATTAGGTGTCATATATGCTATATAATATTCCTTATTTTGGGTATGTATGTATATATTATTATTATAGCCTTATAAATATAATACATACATACATGCGTGTGTATCTGTGTGTGTGTGTGTGTGTGTGTGTGTGTGTGTGTGTGTGCGTGCGTACGTGCGTGCACGTGCGTGTGTGTGTGTGCGCGCGCGCATTTGTGTCTGTGTGTCTGTGTGTCGGTGTGTGTGTGTGTGTGTGTGTGTGTGTGTCGGTGTGCGTGTAAATGCAGTGTCATGTATCATGCCGTGTA